CCCCCGCGATTCGCCCCCTCCCAGATTTAATGGGGGCGCGTTTGTTTGGGATAGCTCCACTCGGGGCTCCCGCTACTTTTTATTGCCCCACCCCCCCTCCTCCTCGCGGTGCCCGCTCCTCATCTTGCAGCGTTGCCAAGTTGAGGTGAATCTTTTGCGGGAATGATCGAATGTGGATTAAGCCCGAGGTGCTAGTAGAGTCCCTTTATACTGAGAGTCAAGACAACACCCCTCATGGAGTCACAAACGGGAATAAAGATTACAGAAATTGAACGTTCTTTGTAATCTTTGATCGGCCCATTCTTAAATTCCTTTCTCCGATCCTTCTCTCATTCCATTTGTTCCTTGCCGAACCCGTAATTCCCTGGTCCATTCCAGATTATAATCTTTGCAATCGGTGAAAATGTAATCTTTATTCCCGTTTGTGACACTGTGAAGGCCTAAAATACGGGAACCAATCAGAAATGGATTCACATTGTCTTGACTCTCAGTATAAAGGGACTCTAGGTGCTAGGAATTCGCTACCATCATTTTAGGTAATTTTTTCTCGGATCTCGGCCGCCAACATGTAATACTGTGCTTAGGAAGAACGCCGTATGAACATAAGAGAGTTGCCAAATTTACTTCGATGAAACGTTTATTATTGAGGACATTTATGAATATTTTTCCTTGAAATTCTCGGCGACTATAATTGAAATCGCGAGCAAAATTATCTAAAAAATTGGAAAAAAAATATTCATAAGTTCAGCAGGAAACTCATGTTTTATCTGAGGAAATTTGGCAACGCATGAAGGTAATTACGACGTTTTTCCTTATCACGGGAGTGTATGTCTCAGGTTTTTTTCATCGATGTTTTTTCATTTTTTATTTATCTTCCTACTGAAAATGACTCAGAGTCACGTCGAAACGTCGTGGGTTTACAGTGTTGTATTTTTAGCCTTGTTCCCCGTTTTCCCCCCTTGTTTTCTCATGTTCTTGTCAAAGTTGATCCTTACACTATAGCGTTTTTCCTTAGGAAGCCACGTATTATTAAGGTTTACATTGTGACTGAGGGAGGTATAAGGAATCCCTTAAAATAACATCTTACGGATTTCTTGGATAATTGTTGCGGGTTGCATACCTAGTCCCCAAAAAATGGTGGGAATTTTATGAAAATTGAATTTCAATTGTCAGGAAAGTGAAATTTCATTCCATGAAACTCTAGCTGCACTGAAAAAAATAGACCTCTGAAATTCTGTGCCGTAAGCCTGTGTCACACTATCAAAGCTAACCATCAAAATATCAAGGTCAGGAGTTGTGATCGGCTAATTCGATGGCCTGGACCAATCACAGCACTTGACCTTGACATTTTGATGGTGTGACATAGGCTGTCGTGGATACAGCGCCCAAAAACCCCGAGTGATTTTAATGCGAAGTGATATTCGTGCCATAAAAGCATATGACACTCAGCAAAAGGTTTCAGGACATTCCGTCAACGATTCTTTGTCCACGCACCTGTTTTGTAAAGTAATTTAGCCCAGTAAAATCAGCAACGGTGACTTAAAGTCCAAGTGTTTTATTTTAGTCCGTGCGTAAAATGATACTGAGAATATCGAAATGAGAAAATTGAGAGGGAAGTTGGTGTTATCGTAACTCATTTTTTAAATGAATTGTTACGTCCTTATTTTGATTCATTTTTTCAAATCGTCATTGGTGATTATTTTCAGAATCAACTACGTCCAAATTTGAGCGTTTGATTGCGCGTACACCACGCCACAGCACAGTAAAAGCATAACATATCAAAGAAAGAATTATAATGATTTAGGAATAATTAAATTTGACACGGAAACACCTCAATATTTACAAAAAACACGTTATGTTTTCCTTTAATACATACTTTTTTTTCTATCAAATTAAATGAGAATAATCCATGCAGAGTATGCAAACATTTCAAAATCCCGAGTTGAAAAACGCTGACTCCACGAGTTTGAAAATGAGAGCCTAAAACAGAACGGAGCGGCCGAACGGCATGCTGCTGGCGCGTAACACGCATCGGCGCCTACAAACCTAACAGGATACTTCTCGCATTGCGCATTGCGTGAAGTACCCTGTTAGGCTTGTAGGCGCCAATGCGTGTTACGCGCTGGCCAGCAGCCCGCAGTGCCGCAGTGTACCACGGCGCATCAAGCAACTATTTCTACACTAGAGGTGTTGCACAATATCATACGAAATCGGAAGCGCTCCAACATATTAAGAATGACAGCCATCTTTTAAGAGTATGAAGTTTTTCTCGCAAAGTAAATCAAGATACTACGGCACAAAGAGAGAGCGGCGGTTCAAAAATTCAATAAGTCCTTCTTTAATATATAATTATTTATATCCGTGTGTAATAACGTATAGTATAAATTCTGAATTTCATTAGAGAAAAAAATGACTCAGTTTAGGCAGAATCATTCTTGAGTATGCCATCAATAAGATTTTATTTTGAAACAAGAATAAAGTAGCTGGATAAAAGCAGCTTTCTGCTTGATGAAAGGGACTTTCCTTTTTTTATAAGTAAATTTTCTCTTCAAACAAGCATTAATTTCTTTATTGATTCATACGAAAATCTCCTCGGTGGCATATTTCTGCTTGAATAAAGTCACTTTTTCCTTCAATGAAGTTCTAAAATCAGGCTTAACGTTATTAAATACAGATACGAGGACTTAGGAAGTATTTTGACCTCCGCTCTCCTTTTGTCGTCATCACTTGATTTAATTTCCCTCGCAAATTAAATCGATTTTACATTTTCACCCAAAAAATGTTGTGTGCAATTGTCGTTTGTGCATATATGCATATATAAATATATGTGGACCAATAAACTTTGGGTCTCAATATGTCGCTGGACCAAACTCCTGTCAGAAAAACGCGTGGACGTAAACTGCTAGAAAAAGCAGGTGCGCGGACAGTACATCTTCGACGAAACCTCCTTTAACACCGCAAAAAAAGTATGATGAGAAATGTGCATTCAGGATCTGAAAATCTTTTATGTATGCTGGTTTATATGCTGCATATTTTTACAGAGAATTCTACCTGACAGGAGTAATGAATTATGATTCTCTAAAATTGGGGTAAAAAAATCAAAATTTTAATCTAAGTAAGAATATTTGACTATTTGCCTAGGCATTTGACAAAATGCCTGATTTGGCTTTATGCCTTCGACATATAGACTCGGGCACAGAATTTCACTCCAAAATTTTTAACAGTGCATGGAGCACTTGCTTTCGTCTCTGGAGAATGTGATTTTGAGGGAAGAAACAATACGCATGGTTGCCGATATTCAAGAAATAACTCTTCGCGAAACATCGGAACTGTGAATTCTCTGTTTGATCTTGAAGCAAGGCACCCCTGAGCGGTAATGCGATCGCGATTCGCGTGGCGCGCCATCGTCGTAGTGTGTGTAAGCAGATTACGTAACGTCGTTGTCAAATTTACGCCATTAATGTGCATCTTTTCGGTCAAATGTTGACAATCACGAAAAAGAATCTTATTCATAATAGGGGCCACCCTGAAAAAAAAGATCGGTAAATCCGAACTAGTTAGGAAGGTATGGATCCAGGTTTTTTTCGGTACATACAACCGAATTATTCGGTCTGTTCAACCAAATTGTTTGGTTTGTGCAACCGAACTATGACAAATTCTTATAGTTCGGTTCAGCGGACCGAACAGTTTTCCGGAATTACAGTTTTTTAAATGTATACATTTTGCTCTATTGATTACTCATTATTTCTAACTCAACCTGATATCGAAGAAATTTATATTTTAACTATCAAGCTAAAGTACAGTTTAAAAATTCAAATCTTAGATTTTCCCTGTCTAGTGAGGAATAACTCACTAGTTTACGTAACGTAACGACGTTAGGCAGCTAAATTTATTACTGATAATACATAGGCATAATAATTTAGGTGGCAACGTCATCAAGAATTTATAGCTGTCTCTGCGTTGAAAGTTACTTTTTAGTAATCAAGTTAAGAACAAAATAATATTGATAGGAACAAACTTGGTAATGCTATACGTATTTATTAAGACTTTTTTAATGTTACGGATGACATGAATAATGAGGATAGCTTTGTTGTTATATGTATACTTTTCTTTAAAAAAATACTTTGTTTAAGTCAAATTCGATGGAGTCAGGCCAAGCGGACCTAAAGATGGAAACAAATTAAATTAAAGTGACACAACTAAACTGCAATGTTTAGGGGATTAATTTTCGACGGGGTTAAACATCGATGTTTATGACTTGAAATCAGGATCCCCTCTTTACTGAAGAGTTTGAGTTTCCACCGTAAGGGCTCTTATGCTCAACCCCATTACATTTATTCATCGATAACAGTAAGGAAGCTTTCTCAAGCACGGGTGTGAAGTCCAATTTTTTCCGAGGTTGTCAGTAAAGTTCGATCGATTTTTCATCTGAGGGGCAATAAATGACCCTCCGCTAGCATCCTGGCATTGGTAGAAACTTTCACCTCGTTGTTTCATGTAAGATTCAACATCCTACATGAAACAACAGTTATACACCTTCTTGTTGCCTGTGTGTTTGTGTAGAAATGTCAAAATTTCCGGGAGAAGTATATATTTTAGCTCAAAATGGAAATGTTGCACGTGTAAGGAATTCGCGATTTGACTACTGATTCTTATGTAAAAGTTCGCGAGAAACACGATGTTGCCACTAGTTTTCTCTGGAATTAACTCCCAAGCTCAAAAAAGCTCTCAAGTTGAGGCCAAAATGAAGAGGATATCCCACGCTATCCTGAGAGTTCACCTCCACATCAATACAAACTCTCCTTGCAAAGATAGGGAGCAAATACTGTAGCAGGGATGCCGGGTTTTCTGTTTTCGAGTCCCCAAATAAAGTGGCAGCCCTTTCAATGTATTTGCTCCCTATCTTTGCATGGAGAGTTGTCTGGATGTAGACGTGGACTCTCAGGGGAGGGTGGGATATCCCCTTCATTTTGGCCTCAACTTGAGAGCTTTTTTGAGCTTGGGAGATGATTTCAGAGAAAACCAGTGGCACCATCGTGTTTCTCGCCAACTTTTACATAATAATCAGTAGTCAAATCGCAAATTCCTCACACATGCAACATCTCCATTCCCGGAAATTTCTCTCAAAGTAGGACTTGCTTGTCCCCACTGTTCTGAGGCGGAGCTCTGAAAGAAGAAGTTTCACCCAGGTCAAGCGGCCAGTAAAGGATCTATTTGGAGGGTACTGAGTACCCTGCAGTGCTGAGGTAAAAAGCTATGTGACACACACAACACACACGCACGTGTTTGTGTGGCACATCGGAGGTTTCCAAATTTCCTACAAGAAAGTCAAATTCATAGGTTGTTGCTACTCAGCACGGCAGTTTACTCGTCCTTTCAGGCTGATTATCGAAATTGAAAGACAAAGTTATAGACAAGGAGAAAATGTTGCGACCCTATTATTGGTGTAAGCTAGTGGTTGGGACGGACAAAGGAGAAAAGTAAAAGACCAACTAACGGCAACCTTCGAGGGACCCTACTGTTGGTCCATCATTTTCTCCCTTAATCTACAACAACTCCCGTTTCAACTAATACGATTGCTCTATTCTCTCTTCATCATTTTTGTCTACCGCTTTGTCTATCAATGTCAATTATCAGCCCGCTGCGGACTGATTATTGAAATTGATAGACAAAGGTAGAGACAAAAAAGATATGGAGGGATCCTATCGGTGGACAGGGGTGGTTTCAAAGGACATAGGAGGAGGTAATAGACTAACTAACGGCAACCCATGAGAGGACCTATAGTTAGTCCATCATTTTCTCTTTTAGTCCTCAGGAACCCAGTAGAATCGCTCCATACTCCCTACGTTTTCTTTGTCTATCGCTTTGCCTATCAATGTCAATAATCAGCCCGTTGCGGACTGATATTAAAGTTGATAGATAAAGCTATAGACAAAAAAGACAAAAGGGATAGGGATCGATGGAAGCGGATGGTTGTAATGGGCAAAGGAGAAGGTAATAGACTACCTAACGGTATCCCAAGAGAGAACCGTCCCCCTATATAGCTTTGTCTATCGATGTCAATAATCAGCCCGTGGTTCGTGGGGTTTAATCGTCCCAGGAGCGGCGGGAGCGGGATCGCCTGGTGCGACTCCCTCTGCGACTCGGGAAATCGGGCACTTTCACTTTCAGATCCTTCTCGAAATCGGACAGGAATTGGTGGGTGAAACGCTTGATCTCCTCGGAGGTTTTGCGGTATTTCCCGATCGGGGTTTTGATGTTTTGGTCGGCCAGGATCTTGTCGCTCTTCTCCACGAGCTCCTCCACCTTCTTCATGATCGAATCGTTGAGCACCTCCGCGAATTTGTCCGAACCTTCGGGCAAAGCAGAGGATAATCAGGAAAAACTATCGCACGAATATTTAAAATGGACCTGTAGATAATGTGCAAAAAGCACTGCAGGATTGCCACAGTCAAAGAATATTTTGCTTGGAAACTATTTCTAACAATGTCTTTGTAAGGCATTTCGACGGTGTAAGTCGGGAATCACATATCTCGGTTTGCAACGTCGCAGACTTCCTGTCATAATTTATTTTTTAAACGGAAAACTACGCAACGGCAATTTTTGAAAACTGTTGTGATTTTTCTTCTCTGTACAAAGAAAATTCTGCAAAAACTTCAAGAAAGTATGTCAATTTGTTCTCCTTTAAAAAAATAACATGGAGGCGGAGATTTTCAGACACCGCAAACGAGTTATGTGATTGCCAACTTACACCGTCGATTTGTTCAATTGTCAGGGAATTTCACCCAAATGTGTCTGGAAAATCAGGAAAATGTATGTATCATTTTAAAAAGTCAGGGCAAACCTAGAAATGTCAGGGAAAAATTGTCGCATCATCTTCATTTGATTTCTCGAGTGGGTTTGACGTTTATCTCCACTTGGGTGTACGGCTACGATATGGAGACAAAACTCCAACCATCCGTGTGGGTTGAAAAAGGTAGTGCAAGACCGAAAAAAGAGCGACAAGTTTGGTCAAACGTGAAAATCGCAATACACCCATGAGGTTGCCTTACTTCAAACCACGTACCAACAAAGCTAAATAAGATTTTTTAAATTCGTGAATGTAGCGTTCACTGGGAAGAAAATACATTGGATCTAGAGTCCAGACTCATAAAAACATCGACAAGAAAAGGTACTCTTGACTCAATCAGAATCTAGCTTAAATCAAGAACCAAGCCTCTTAATTTAAGCGGATTCCGTTTTGACTCAAGCAAAAATCCGATTGAATCAAGAGTATTTTTTCTTGTCAATGTTTTCAAGAGTCTGGACTCTAGATCCAATGTGTTTTTTTCTCCAGTGTGGGAGTTCCTGCAATACTTACTTTGTTTTTTGAATGGAGGATTAATCAATGTCACCTCTTTAAAACATCCGTGATTTCCGCGCTATAGCTGAGCCAAATCGTCAAGACTAAGAACATGTCGTCTGTTGTGAAATAGTTGCTTGAGGCAGCGCGGAACCCGCATTGGCGCCTACAAACCTAAGGGGATACTTCAAGCATTGCGCTATGCGCGAAGTATTCCCTTAGGTTTGTAGGCGCAAGTGCGCGTTTCGTGCTGCTAACACGCCGCTCCGCTCTGTGTTAGGCTCTAATATATAAACTCGCGGAGTCAGCGTTTTTCAACTCATGATTCTTAAATTTTTGTACGCTCTGAACGGTTTATTCTAATTTAAAGTCTGGAATCTAGATCCAATGTGTTTTTTTTCCAGTGTTGGCTAGTTATCACTCGAGTACTCTAGTCATCATCAAAATCCGGTTTCCTCTCTACAGACCTCGTAGGACATCAAAGCATCGAACGCGTGATCATTAAAATGTCGAACCTGGGTGTTCATCATTATAGTTCTTCATCTGCTTCTTGAACTCTTCGCCCCGGTTTCTCATGCCCTGAAGGAGTTTCGCGATCTTCTCCTTTTGTTCGGTTGTCAAGCCTCCTTCCTTCTTCACCCACTCAGCGTCGTAACGAGACGCTCCTAGGAGCCCCTGCCAACACAATAGTTTTCTTGCTTTTAATTTTTTCGTGACGGCCATATAAGTTGCCCGATATAAAAGAGCCGGAAAAAAGGGTCAAAGAATAGGTTTTTTTATGTCCTTGTCTTGAGGGATTACGGGATTTAGTTCAGATGGAGCCAAAACGATAAATTCTGGTGAGATTATCTGCACTGGGGAAAAAAAACACATTGTATCTAGAGTCCAGACTCTTAAAAACATCGACAAGAAAAAATACTCTTGATTCAATCGGATTTCTGCTTCAATGAAAAGGAAATCCGCTCAAATTAAGAGGCTTGGTTCGTGATTTAAGCAAAAATCTGATTGAATCAAGAGTATTTTTTCTTGTCGATGTTTTTAAGAGTCTGGACTCCAGATCCAATGTGTTTTTTTTTCCAGTGTGCGAATGAAAAATGTATACTGTCTGTAGAGCTCGAAAGCACTGGGTAAAAAAGTCGCTTGGCTCTAGAGTCTAGACTTTTTATAACATTGACAAGAAAAAATACTCTTGATTCAATCCGACTTTTTCTTGAATTGAAGAGCTAAGCTCCTTGATTTAGGCATATTTCCTTTTGATTCAAGCAAAAAGTCTGATAGAATCAAGAGTATTTTTTCTTGTCAAAGTTTTTAAGAGTCTGGACTCTAGATCCAAGCGACTTTCTTTCCAGTGAGCGTTGGAAGGTTTACTTTTTTATTATTGAAAAATGTTATTATTTTGACTTTCCTTGGTCGAAGAAACAATATTAGTTGAACCCGGTTTATTTTTTTGAAGCATAGTAACATCTATCAATGATGTTTTTTGTTTTTTCACGCGAGTAACATATAACATTTAAACTTTGCATCTATAGCGGGGATAGATATGGATAGCTGGTAGATGACAGATCTGGATATCTGGTCTCTGGCATTGAAGTAAAATATTATGTGGTTCAATTTCTTAAAAAATTATCAAAAAACTCGTGAAAGTCAGGGATATTCGTTGCGGAACCTTCAAATTTTTCTCGGCTCAAACATACAATTCGACAAATGAAACTCCCAAACCAAGTGTCTTGTTTGCGGTGCTTAAAAATCTCCGTCACATTTTATTGTTTTACAAATGAACAAACCAACATTATTCCTTAAGTTTTCATAGAATTTTCCTCGCGTACAGAAGAAAAAGCATAGCAGTTAAAACAAAAAAAAAAAAAAAAAAAAAAAAAAAAAAAAAAAAAAAAACCTAGTAATTATATTTCTTTTTAAATAGTAAAATACGACAGGAAGTATGAAACGTCACAAATCGAGATACGTGGTTTTGTAGTTTCACCGTCGAATTATTTTCCTCTGCAACTTCGCGCTATGCTAACTATAGACGGAAATTCGAACTTCTCCCTTCAAGCTCACGATTCGTAAGATTTACTCAATTCGTCGCCTTCCTAACAGAAGGCCGTAACTACACCCGACGATGAGCCCTGTTGTACATATACCTCAATACTTTCTCGGGCTCGTCTCAAATAAATTGTAGTTACGCCCTTTTTCGGCCAAGCTCGAATTGCAAGAAACCTCACGCACAAAAATGCGAGAGGAATTCCACAAACATGTTTGTGGCACGTTTGGGGAGTTTGCTCAAATAAACATGAAAAAGCCCGGGAATTTCACGTTCCAAAACGCTGAAAAGCCATGTAAAAGGCGGGAATTTTGGAATTCAAGAAAGGTTTTTTTTTTTTTTTTTTTGATGAATCACAGAGTAGCCAATCATATTTTTCTTGCAGTTTTAAACTAAATATAATAAATAATTCACATAATTAATTTACATATTCTGCCGTTCTAAGGAAAAAAGTCATAAACATTTGGGAGCTATCAAATTTCCTCCAAAAAAATCTTAATTCTGAAAGAAAGTTATGAGCTTTTTCCCATGATTGTTTTAGATCATTTATATCTGATCACGAATACACGTCTCCGTAAAATCCGTAGAAAAATATTTACAGATTCCCTTGAAAAGTCTCAAAAGTCACATTTCATCAAATAAAAATTTTCATTGTCTGAAGGATCATAAATTCATACCGCGTGCCTCCATACTTCCGTACTAAGGAAAAAAACCTTACGAACATTCGAGAGTAGCCAAATTTCCTTCGCTAAAGTGTATATATTTGAGGAAATTTATGAATATTTCCCCCCGAAATTCTCAGAAACTTTGTGAGAAATTGCTAACAAAATTATCTGAAATACTGGAAGAAAAATCTTCATAAGTTTACCGGGAAAGTCGTTTTTTATCATTTCGGCACCGCCTGAAGGCTCATACGGCGTTTTTCTTTAGCACGGCAGTATTTTTGCATGAATATTAATGAGTTAACTTACTTGAATACATATTGCCATAACCAGAATGATACGGAGGTCCATGATCTTTCGGCTAGAACACTCGCTTAAACAGAACTGAACTGAACCCGTCGACTTACTCAAGTCTCACTTAGGTCAAACACTTGTCTGCCCTGATTTTCCCAGAAGCTCCTGTATTTAAATGTGCTTCTAATTACGTTGGATTCCACATTTTGCGCAATTAGACATTTTTTTAGCATTTTTTGATCGTATCAATGACTGCTGATTGAAAAATCACGCGTACGGTTGTCATTAGTCACTATCGTCAAATGGAATAAGGTGCGATGGAATTGAAGATTTTTTTTTCTGATGTCAATGCTTGGTAATGGAGCGGAAACTTCCGAACATGCCTATCTCCCTGCAATCGATGATGAGCGTATCGGGATGCATGCCAATTTTTTTTTTCATCAGGAAGATGTTTCATACTATCTACCTATAGTTGGACTGCATTTTCAAATAAGAACCGAAAGTATTCTAACACAGCTGAGATAGTAAGCCTTATTTTGTATCGTAAGAAAACTTGTAATTTCAAACAGTTTCAGTTATTCATGATAATGTCCATGAAATTACACGAAAAAAGAAACGTAAACTGTACAAACCGAATATCACTGTACTGGAAAAAAAAACACATTGGATCTAGAGTCCAGACTCTTAAAAACATCGACAAGAAAAAATACTCTTGATTTAATCGGATTTTTGCTTAAATCAAGAACCAAGCCTCTTAATTTGAGCGGATTTCCTTTTGATATAAGCAAACATCTGATTGAATCAAGAGTATTTTTTGTTGTCAATGTTTTCAAGAGTCTGGACTCTAGATCCAATGTGTTTTTTTTGACCAGTGTGAGATTGACGGAAAAAAGGGTCAAAAATGTGACTGAGATGCACTAGCATAATGCTTGTAAATATTTTGAGCTTTCAGTCAAAAAAGTAACTTAACTAAACTAACTAATTTCTCTATCACTCTCCAGTTATCCGTTAAAGCCGATTTACCCTCTGAGTATGAGCGTTTTCGGCCATTTTTGATGTGTTTGCGACTCTTTGCCGTTCCGGAAGTTTACTTCAATTTCAAATTTGCTCTTATTGAAAAATTCTATCTGTTTAAAATTTTGACCACTGCCTGCCATTATACACAAGAAAATAGATTTTATCGCATTCATGCGTTTTTGACGCCGATTACCGGCTAAATGGAATATTTATGATAAACAGAATAGCGGGTTGGAAAAGAGGAGTGCGCTTGTTAGTTGAGGGCCGCAAGAATGAACGGGAATGGTAAACCGCCAGTGACGTCAGCGGCGACGACAGAAACGACCCTCTGCGGATCTTAATTTTTAACTCAAGCGCCATGTCCACAATGCTCCTCTCACATGCCCACGGCTCATGAGTTAGCAAATTTCGGCGATTAGTTCCTGTTGATTTAATGTCAAATCCCACTTTTCCATTATGCCAAAAGGACTTACGCCCGCTCTTACACTCTTTCTCATCTAGCTCAAATGAGCATACCCCAGCTTTCTCACATGTCTTTAGCATGCATGCGTGAGTACGTCCAAATAGGACTTATGCCCCAGTCAAAAAAAGATGAAGAAGAAGAAGAAGAAGAAGAAGAAGAAAGATGAGTGGAAGGTGGAAGTGGAGTCATAGAAAAAGAAGCAGTGAAAATACAAGTAATTGAATCAGTGAGAACGAAAACACACCAACTCGGAAAAATGAAAATTATCACACAGAAAACTGCACAGCAGGTGAAGAAGTTAGTTCAAGAAAAAGACTTTTGCTTCCGAAAGACAAGCACTTAAGGACACTTTAAAGGTCCAAGTTGGAACAGATGCGCTAACTTCAATAACCCATGTGTAAATTAACTATCTTTAATAGACGTTGAGCATTTTCGAGTAACCGAGTTGGTGCGTTTTCGTTCTCACTGATTCAATTTTCCATGCACATAAATCCATTTCTAACCGTCGAGGTATGACGCTACGCAATTTTTCCGACTTTAAGACACACCCTCCCCCCCATCTTCTCACTACGATCTAAGCGTCTGACGTCATGTATGAGCGGCCCCTTCGTCAAGAAGAGGAATCTGGAGTAATGAACCTCTTGTATCGTCCGAAATGAATAATCGGCAATGAATGAAATGAATCATGGCACTCGGTTCAAACGAGCGGTCTTCGAATCGAAGTCAAGTTTCTGGTGTGGCCGTTTCTGCATCATGACCGACCCCAGTCGCCCCACCCCTTTACAATTTCGCCGCGGACAAAATTAGGTTAATATCCCGTCTTCCACGGCGACGCTCCGCCAACAAGCCATTGAATGAGTTGCTAGGGGATTAGAGCGGGCCCGTAACCTCTGCTCTAGTAATTGACTTGTTCGATTGTTTCCGGACACCACCGTTGAAAGATCGTCCTGGTTGTCGATAGATCTGCTTACTGTGGCACCATCATGTTCCATGTTTCGTGCGCGTTGTGATAAAAGAGAACGCTGAAATAAATATTCGAAAGTTTCTTTCGTCCGGTTTTCAAAACGCCTTCAAATGACGACGATACTCCGCAACACACCGGAGGTCGAATAGTGGTATCGTATAGTGGAAAATTGCTTATGTGATATGGACTCCGCAAATTGGATTGGACTTGCACTCGCACGGAACTAAGTTTTTTTGGGAAAGGGAATACTGCCGTGCTAAGGAAAAACGCCGTATGAATATTCGATAGTTGCCAAATTTCCTTCAATAAAATGTCTATTTTTGAGAAAAGTTATGAGTATTTTTCAATGAAATTTTTTAAGAACTTTTGATAAAATCGCGAACAAAATTATCCGGGAAATTGAGAGAAAAATATTTACAAATTTTCCCGAAAATTCGTGATATATCAAAGGGAATTTGGCAACGCCTGAAGGTTCATAGGGCGATCTTCCTTAGCATGACAGTACTGCCGTGCTGAAGGAAGATCGCCGTAAGAGCCCTCAGATTTTGTCATATTTCCTTCAATTAAAACCGAATTTATTGGGATAATTGGACCGCGTTTAGCAGAAAAGAACCAAGCCAAATCAGCTATTGTCAAATTTAACGAGGCAATTTAATTTTTTACAAGTGAACGCTCGAGCGGATTCCTTCGAAAATTTTTTGGAATTTACTTCGTACAACGCAAAAATTTCACTGATATTTGCCCAAAAATCTGCACAACCGTTTCCGTGTAAAAAATAAAATTGCCCGGTTAAATTTGGTAGTAGCTATGTTCCTCTCTGCTTCATAGTTGTGAATAATTTTCTTCAACATTTTCAAACAATTTTATCAGTAATTTAATATAAAATATTTGAAAATTTCCAGGGAAAACATGCTTAACTTTCCCAGAAAATACTCTTTTTGTCTGGGGCAATTCAATGATGGGGTTCTTGAATGTTCATACTGCGTTTTTCCTCAGCACAGTAGATGAGAAAAATTGCGAATTCAAGAATAACGGTGCATTATGGTTTCTTCATCAAAATTTCACGTAAAACACAATTTTTTCAACAAAAAGTATCGAGAGTAAGGGTAGCAGGTAGTCTAAAAAACTTGGAAAATCTGGGATAGTCAGAGAATTTGCGACAACCGGGAGTTCGTGAGAAAAGTCAGAAAATTTCTGACACATCTACTTATCACCAAAACATATCACTGAGCTGTCCCATCGTTCTTCGCTCTGGTTATTTTTAAGGCTTGTAATTTTGTAACTAGCCGCACTGAATGCCTCTTCCCATAGTTCGATCTAGAAACAAGGACATTTATTCCAAAGTTTAGCAAAAACCAGCGTATTTTTCTAAAGAAAAAAGTCGAAATTTTATTCGAAAGTCAGGGAAAGTCCGAGAATTATAAATTTTCAGAGTAAGTGAACAGCAAAGAAAGTCAGGGAAAATTCAGGGAATTTGAGGATGGAAAAATTACAGCAACCCTGAAAGTAACCTCCTTTTTGCTGAAATTTTTAGGGGCCGTACCCCTAAAAAGGGTATTTTTCCGAGAAAAAGCCCTAGAAAAAGAAATTCTTATCTCGATCCCTAAAATGTAAAAATATTTGCGTTAAACTGTGGGACGCCCTGTATATTGGACGTGATTTTAAGTACATAAATTACATTTTTAAAAGTGACCTTATCACAGACATGGGTTGTACTAGCTGTCAGAACTCGCTGACTCCTCCAAAGTAATTATTTTATCTTGAATCCGTGAAGCATCGAAGATGTCTCTGCGTGCAGAGAAGTCATGAAGATCAAAGACCATAGTCAGGTAGTCGGGTAATTGACCAAATGCAGAAGCCAATTCCATTAAACTAATCAACGCGTGACCCCTCCCAAAATTCAACAGATAATAATTTAATTATAATTTAAAAGGCGCCTGTATTTGATCGTGGCTTCGTGTTTTTAGTCGAAATTAAGTGAAAGGTAATACACAAGTTAGTGACCCCATCCGTCTACAGTTTAATCAGTGTTAAGTGGACATGCAAACAATGCAGAAGTTTATTCTTACATTCATTGTAGCAGGTAAAACGCTTAAACATTTTTTGGGGAGGTTTGTGAATCACTTCTTCACGCCCTTTGTTCGTTGGAGCAATATTTCCGCGTGTACTGGCAGTTTCAAGCTACACAGGAAATTCGAAACGCCTTCAATTTTGTGCTATGCACTACGGACATCCATAGCAGTGGCGTGGCGTGAATTGCGATGTATCGATTGTTCTGCCATTTAAACCTATGGTAAAGGATCGATAAACAGGGAGTTCAAAGCGAACACCTTTACAATGGATTCTTTACCATAAGTTTAAACGGCATAACAATCGATGAATCGCAATTCACGATATATCGCAGAGCACGATAGTTGCATCCAAGCGATATTACATTGGTCGCGCGCCGTGGCACGCTGCGGCACTGCGGGCTGCTGGCCAGTGCGTAACACGCATTGGCGCCTACAAACCTAACAGGAACAGGGATACTTCACGCATTGCGCAATGCGTGAAGTATCCTGTTAGGTTTGGAGGCGCCGATGGGTGTTACGCGCCAGCAGCACGCCGCCGCTCAGTGGATCGAGTCAATGGAGATGTTGTATGTGTGAGGGATTTGCGATTTGATTATTGATTCTTATGTAAAAGTTCGCGAGAAACACGATGGTC